TTTATAGCGCGGTCGGCACGACGTAGGTATTATATTACAATACTACAAGTACTTACTAAAAATGCCCATAACTTTTTTGTTTGTGAACCGATCGGGGAGTTTGGACCGGCGTTGGATAGGTGGGGACGTGCAACATTTTTTGGACACCCCCACATCCCCCCTCCGACGAAAATTGGGGGTAATTTACGGAGCAAGGTATTTTTGAGCAGACAGGCTTTTTGGCCAGTGTGGTATGGAGTTTTCGGCTATTTGGGCCAAGGCCTTTCAAACGGCCCCTGGCACTCCGGGGCCCAAGTACCGCACTGCGAAAATAGCATATTAGCTGTATATATACCAGTGACGCAAAAATGTGCATTTTTTGACATTGTGGCTAAAAATGCACAGTATATGGAGCGTCACTGGTCGGACTACCGTCCTCCGTGATATTCGGGGAAAAAAGTATGCGGGATTTCTTTTCGGGAAATTGTCTTCCCGAAAAGTGGCATTTTCGGGATTCAGTTTCGAGAAAAAAATCTTTCGGGAAAAAGTATTTTCGGGAAATGGTGCGGCAATCATCATACCTTTCGAAGAAAATGTCCCATTCGTCGCTTTCTGGTTGAACGTCGATCATCAATGCAGTGTTGGGGCGAATATTGACACCTTTTTCGACACGACGTGTAGAAAATCCGTTTTTTGACTAAATGATTTGTAAACGAACTGCAGTATGCTCAAACTGAAGTATTGCAATGTCGATGGTGAATTACTTGGATAATGTGCCTTCGAAAACGACAATCTGTTCGTCTGCAGTTTTTATGATCCGGAAATATCCATCAACTGGTGCGCAGATCAGAAGTTTGGTCTCGTCTGGGATTACGAAATTTTTTGAGCGTGCGTCATATATGTAAAACTTTACTTCGGATGTTCGAAAACCCAGCTGGAATTTCCACTGTGTGGCCGATGCCAAAACGCTTGTCCGCAGACTGTTCATTTTCACACAAATCTGTTCTGAATGCAAAATACGAATTTATTTTTTGCATACAAAAATATACCGATTACATTGCATTGGAAGTAGATTAAATCGTCATTCAGTTTGCTTAGAGCAAAAAGTTTACTTTCGCTTAAGTAGAAAAAATGATTTACCAAAATTGTCGCGGCGATTGAATTGTTGTATGGTTTGGTTCAACGCGGGAAATGTGCCGTAATAAACGGAATGTACTATCAGAAATCTATACAAGACAACAGAAAATATTATGAATTTTGTAAAACGAATTGCAATGATAATAAGAAAAACAAGAATAAAAGCGCATTGCTCACCTAATTTTTCTGGGAAAACAAATGTTTCGTATCGCTTCGCATCTTTTGCGTAAAACAACCACTATAAGGCGCACGGTAAATGTCAGTTGACAGCAAAACCAAATGAACATGCACATGGCAACACTTCACTGGAAAAATTCAAACAAATTTGTCAAACGATAAATAACAAATATGAACAAGTCAACCGAAGAATTGATAATTCTATAAAATATTTTATTATCGTCAATAAATTAAAGTACATTGCAATGTTTTTAAAATATTGATACATCATTGGGCACACACAGAGCATACTCTACTTCCCGAACAGCTTTTTTGTACCCTTTTCGATTCATCAATGGGACCATTTTGTTGAATTCGAAACGACTGATAGCATGCGATCTAAGAGGATTTCTGGAAAAGTGTATAGAATGAAATGGTTAGCTATTCAAAACGTCTTGTGTAGCTGTACATTAAAAAAAACTACAGTGCAATGATTACCTCTCCCCAGTTTCGAAGAACTCAACTGTGATAGTAGAACCATTGATATTTATGACTCTAACTGGCCAGGTTTGATAGCCCGACACGACTGCTAGAACTACCTCATTAACGACAAAACACTTTTCGAGAGCTTCCGAATCAATTCTCTCATTCAAAGTTAGGTTTTTCTTTTTTATTGGGTTTCTCTTCTGAATTTTCTTTGCTTCATTTGGAATGTTCTGAATCAAAAGAATATATATTACACATTGCAATGGAGTTAATTCAATTGGAAAACAACCCTAGGGGGATTTCTCACGAAAAAAATGAATGAATTCTTATAAATTTTGAAAAATTTCTTCAATTCGGTCCGATTCGATCAATTTTTGTCAATTCGTGTAAATAAATGTACATTTACACTGAACTTTTGAATTGTGCTTCAATGAAATTGTTCTGAAAGTGGGTTTTGGTGGATCTCAAGGATCGTTCAGAACTGCTCTCAGTTCTGGAAATGGATCTTCAGGATGGGCCAGGACAATGTCAAACCGGATCTGGTCCGGTTTCAGATTCAGATACTCAGGCGAACAATTTGACAACTGCTTGAATATCAAGACTGCTGATTGCAGTTTTGCTCTGCTCTCAGGAGTCAATCCACTCAAACGCTCACGATATTCAGTAACATGATCATTACGTTTTAATCCGTAAATGTATCGAATCTTGTCGTTATCAGCAACAAGATCACGGTGCACCTGGTTTTGGGTGCTGTGGGCGCCCCAGCCGTATGTTACCACATTTCCATAATCCATTATGGGATCTATCAGAGCTACAGCCATATCACGTTTGACGTAATTGGGTATAAATCGCTTAGTGTGATGAATGCGATTCAACACGCCATACACTTTTTGCAATTTACACTTGTCATGTTCTTGAAAAGTAAAGTTTTCGTCAAAAATAACACCAAGGTTCTTTATTGACTTACAGAATTCGATTTTTTCATCACCTAATTTCACTTCATTGATCATATCAAAATTCAACCGTCCCGTTTGATGCTTTGATCCAATTATCATTACTTTTGACTTTAAACTATTTATAATCATACCGCGACGTTTAAGAAAATCATTCAATTTGGCAAGGTTCGAGTTTATTTTATCGATACCGTCGTTAATTTTATCAAAATCTACTTCGATATGTGCTTGACAATCATCCGCGAACAAATGGCCTTTCATATTTTCAAACATATTAAGAGTATCATTGAAGTAAAGAGAGAAGAAAGTTTGGCCGAAATTACTACCTTGCAACACTCCATTATTAATTGAAACAAAGTTTGACTCTTGATCGCCGACTTTAACTTTTTGCTGAATGTTACTATAAATTGATTTAATTAATTTAACCGCGCTATTTGAAAAACCATACGATTTACAAACTTTTAAAAGAGCATCATGAGGAACTGACGGAAACGCGCTTTTAATATCAAGAGCTAGAAGAATTACTAATTTTTTACGACTCAATGACGATCTGATACTCTCCGATATGTTCAATAGTGAGGTGGTACAACTATGATTTTTTCTAAAACCAGATTGCCGTTCGTGAAGAATAGCATTTGATTCTATATAACCAGTGACCTGGCTATTCAATAGAATCGCGAAAATCTTGGGGATGACTGAGATTATGCTGATTGGTCTGTATTTTCTCCAATTGTGTTAACCGGTTTGAAAATCCGGTTTGTTTGAGGTTAAGTTAATATATGATGAGAATTGCAGAATTCAATACTGTCAAATCACAAGTAAATCTAGTACTACAGTTAAATCAATGTCAAATAAACATTCAGTGTTTTCCACTTTTTACAATATTCCATAAATATTAGTCCTGAAAAGCGTTATTTTGTTTAAATTATTTCAAAAATGAACGCTGAAAAATATTTCCAGACTCGAAATTTATACGAGATTCTTCAAATTACACCAAAAGCAAAAATTCAAGAAGGTATGGTTTTATTGTAGTGCTTTTTGCATCTAATAATGATTTTGCATTCAAACTATTTAGTGAATTCACACTCAATCATATGTTGTATGTGTTCCCATTGCAGTGAAAAAGAGCTATTATAAATTGGCTCGGATTTTCCATCCAGACCGTGCAGCTGATTTTGAAAAGAACGAAGCTTGCGAGAAATTAAACATCATTCACAACGCCTATTCGATCCTCTCTGATCCAATGAAAAAACGAATGTATGATGAAGGCTCGAATATACTGTTTTCTAAAGTTACGATTGCGGCCCGATGGAAACATTATTTGAAGCCTGTTGATTTAGAAGACATCCAAACAGCTCGAAATGGATATCGCGGTTCAAATGCCGAAGAACTGGATCTAATTCGGGAATTTATTGCCGGAAATGGCAGCCTCACCCATTTATTGAACACGATTCCATTTATGCGTGTAGAGGATGAAGACTGAATCATAGAAATAATTAGAGACCTTATGAATCGAGCCAAGGTGCCAAGGATCACAATAAATAGGCTTAGAAAATAATATAAAATATCCATTGCAATGTAAAATAATTTCTTAAAGAAATAAAATTCAACACTCTCAAAAATCAGCCATATCTGTTATTAATATACCTTGTAGTAAACGCGTTTATAGTGTTTCACTGTAGTAGCAAAGTATCCTATTAAATTCCACTGTAGTATTACTACAAGAAAATTTAATAGGTAACACCGCTACTACAGTGAAACACTATGAACGCGTTTACTACAAGGTATATTAATAACAGATATGGCAGGATTTTCGAGAGTGAATATATGATCAAAACCAAACTGTTGTTATTATGGTTTCATGAAATGTGAACCAATTCAAACAGTCACACATTGGGTCTAAATATTTCTTTTACTTTAACACGTGTTAAGTCGATTTTAGTGATAAAATAACACTAGAACCTTTTCTGAAGTACTATTCCTACATTTATCACTATTTCGTAACTTATCACCGAAAATTGGTACTAACGGATGTATTTAAATACAAAAGCCTTTTAAAACAATATCAATTTTCAGAACAAATAAATGATATTTTTAATTTGGCTTAGAATTATTATTCAGGTTTGAAATCTAAGTTTTAAGTCTGCTAGAAGTTTCATTTATTCTTCACAAACTAATCATTCAATGCGTTCAAAATTTGTCCAGTTTAAAAATCTAACTTCTCAAACCTTTTGGAAGTTTTGAAAAAAATTCGGGAAATTTCAAGTTATTTTCAAGCCTAAGAAACTAATCCACGAAAAAATCTTATAAATTGAAAAAATATCAATTTTGGATCAGTATCAATAAGAATGCAGACACCAGAGACAGAATATTCGCGAAAAGTTCTCAAGTCTGCTAGAAGTTTCATTTATTTTTTTACAAATTTATCATTCAATGCGTTCAAAATTTGTCTAGGTTAGAAATCTAAGTTCTAAAAAAAAGTTTCTAAAAAATGAATTAAGCTTGGAAAAAATCAAAATTTTATTTCTTAATTAGATCTTGTTTTAAAAATAATTCGAAAATATCCAAGAAATTTTTTGTAGATATAAATAGCTGAAAGCATTTCAAACAAGTAAACAATGTTATTAAACAATAAAATATAATTGGAATTTGCAATCATCTACATGTATGTTAAAACACAATTTGACGTCATTTTTTCCATTTTAACACGAAATTCCACCATTAGCACCAAAATACGGAGATAACACGTATTAACTGCTTAGACATATTTACATTTCCATTGTTAAACTTGTACCGAAGTTATCACAAAAATCGACTTAACACGTGTTAAAGTAAAAGAAATATTTAGACCCATTGTGATATGATTTTAGTACAAAACCTATCAAAACTTGTTCATTGGTGTGCATACTCATTCTGCCTTAATTAATTTCGCACCATCATTTTTCACAATTATTTTTATTTTTTATTTTTATTTTTATTGATTTATAATGGTGTTGAAAACAGGAAAAAATCCCAATAACATTCTTCACCTATGAGTTCTGATCACATTTTTGTTGACTTTCAATTTTACATTTTCTAATTACTTTTTGGCAATATATTACTAATAGTAAAAAGCAAAAGAAAAAATAGTATAATTATTTAATTTAAAATTAATAAGTTGTAAAAAATAAGAATTGATTATAATTTTAAATTCGATTGCAAGTAAATGATGCAGTTAAAACATTGCCTTATTATATTGCTATTTGCATCATTTATTTTAATATTTCAACTTTGACTGAAGTTGCTCATTATTTTATTTTTAAACAGTTCATAGTTTGCATCAAGAATATTAGTTGCTTTGAATTTTCTTTCGTATAGTAACTGCGTTCTAGTCACAGGATTTCTGTGAAGCCCATAATCATTATTTGTAGGTTGAGGATTGAAAAGTATGTTCGATCTATTCGACCGTCGGCTTATTCTGAAGTACGGTCTAGAATGTGAGCAATAGTTCCGGTTGTGTACTAATTTATGTAGAAAGCATGCATCAAAGTATTCCCTTCTCATTTCCAGTTCTAACATATTTAAGCATTTGATGCGATTGGTATATGATTGAGGATTTTGTCTGAGTTTAAAGAAAACAATTCTAGTGTATTTCCTTTGAACTCTTTCAATTTTCTCTTTATGATTGATCTGATAGGGATTCCACACCGCAGTGTTGTATTCCAATCTAGATCTCACCAAAGAATTGTATAAATACTTTAGGCATGTCAGGTCCTGGAAATCGGCTGTTGCTCTCATTATGAATCCCAACATGCTGTTAGATTTTTTTACGATTGAGTTTATATGTTCATCGAATTTGAGTTTGTCATCAAAGATGACTCCCAGATCTTTGACAGAACTGCACTGAGTGAGCGGAGTGGTATTCATAGTATACAGCGGTTGAGATGGAACGGTTTTGTTTGAAAAGATCACCACGTGACATTTTTCAATGTTTAAAAGTAATTTGTTGACTACACTCCACTCGTGCAGTCTATCGATGTCGTTTTGAAGTCTGTCAGCATCTACTTGAGATTTTACTTTGATATAAATTTTTAGATCATCAGCGAATAGGAGAAACTCACATTTTAGGATATGACTAAGGTCATTGATGAAAATGTTGAATAAAATTGGTCTCAGAACTGAGCCCTGAGGAACCCCCGAAGTTGGTTCAAATGTTGCTGATTTATCACCATTGAAGGTGACATACATTCGCCTATTAGTAAGATATGATCTGAACCAGCCTATGAGTTTTGTGTCAATACCAAAGTTTGCCAGTTTAGACAAAAGAATTTCGTGGTCAACAGTATCGAATGCTTTGGAGAAATCGGTGTATGCGGCATGCACTTTACACTTTTCATCCAAGGCATCTGACACATAGCTTACGTACTCAATCAGATTTGTATTGGTTGACTTATTTCTCATAAACCCATGTTGCCTAGGTGTGATTTGATCTTCAACCATTGATATCAGGTGTAAGTTAACGATTTTTTCGAAGACAATAGCTATAGAATTAGACATACAAATTGGTCTATAGTTCGATACCAATGACTCATCACCTTTCTT